ACAAAACATATTTTGATATTCCACCTAATGATATATTTTATTTTATAATCAAATATTTGATTAACAAAAGTATACTTGTCTTGTTGTTTTGGTTGGGGACATTACACTAATCTCATTTTGTTTTGTCCCAAAGCAAATTCCTAGAAATTCCTTAATGTATTATGTTATAAAATGAGAAAAATCCCTCCCCATTTTAAGTGTGATTTTCGGCCATAGAGAGAGAGAGGAGAAAATTATTATTTTGTGTTCCAAGTTATTTTTCTAAAGTGTTAGAAATATACACAAAATATTATAAAGAAATATTTATAAGATAAATATTTTTACTATATATTTATTACTCCCAAAGTAGTATTATTATAGTTTTTACTATCTTAAATTAAATTTGCTAGCACAAGTTTAATCTAGGACTCCGGAGCAAGTTCGTGTGGATACGTTGGAGGCTTCATACGTTTGGCGCTACGTTCATCTCCTCAAAACCATCCCCGACCGTTCCTCCGTTCTCCGTTTTCACCATTAAGGTAAATTTCTTACTATAGCTAGTAATTTACGTAAGTTGTTCTTGGGTGGAATCGAGTTTTGGACTATAAATTTTTGTTTTCCGCTGCGTTATCCAAGCCTCGTTTCCCAACAGATTCATCTCAAAATATTTGTAGTAATTGTTGGAAACTGTGTGCTCTACACCGTACGTAGGTCCATAGACTCGTCGTGTTGCTATGTACCCAGGAATGAAACTTCTAACGAGACCACCATTAATAAAGACTGTTGAAGCAACAGCTCCTTGAAGGCCAACACTACCTCCTCCATAGGCAAGTTTAATCTTTCGCCTTATCAATTCTCTTCCTAAATCTACCGCAGTAGCCATAAACTTTGGATTTCTACCAAGAGAATGACTGCCAAGTAGACCAACGAATCTTATGGTGTAAGGAAGTGTTCGAGAAGTTCCTTCCATAATGTGAGAATGTGAGATACTCTTTTCATAATCGTGATATAAAGAGTCTTTGAAACCTGACTCTTGATGGAAAGGTTATTATCACCAGCCAAAATGCGTACAGAAAAGTGGATTCGCTTCAATTATCTACAGACAGAAGTGTAGTCATCAATATTATAGTCTGCTGACAATGTGATATGTTGAGACTAATGAATAGTTAGATTCGATGTCCTGAAACACGTACAAATCCGAGACGAAAAGTCAAAACCGCTATTTCCTAAGACAACGACCTCTTGAATGACTTCCAAAGAGTGAAGCATTGAAGGAAGAAAACCCACGATTAGTAACGGTAATTCGCAAATGCTATCTTGATATCTTGTGACTCATATCCTTGAATTACTCAAACTTGCTGTGTTAACTACACCCTTGAAACATCCCGCTTGATTAATCTTGAAAAGATTGAATTCCATTCTTTGTATCAAAATAATAAAACCACGATTCTTCATTAAACAAAAAGATGTTTTATAATACCGATCTTTGAAAACTATACCCTGTGGAATACGTGACTCGATCACAATAGTAAAACTACCTTGACTTAAACATTATGTTGAACCTCTCTTTGTAGACCACAAAACGATCAATACGGTTGTGTTATCTATAAAGATTACAATCAATGATGATTAAGGAACTCCGATATAACCCTATCAAGGGAATGTATGTGCGACAACCAGAGTAGAAATGACGTCACAAAGATCAAGTTGAACCATCCAAAGCGAACAAGGAAAGTTGAAAACGACAAGGTGTATATGAGACGTCACTCGATTGTCAACACCTATGAATGCGAATTAATACAAAGACTCATTGTTGATAATGAGAATTGCTATGAAGTGTGTGAAGAAATGTTTTTACATAAAGATCAATAAATGACGAGCGACTGTACAACCGATCGACAGTATTTCCTCCTAAATGATGACAAATCCTATATCCTGAAAATCTTGGACCACTAAGAGACCTTTGAAATATTTGCAAAACATGGTTGTACTATGTGAACGATACGAAGATATCTCAAGGTGAAATTTACGTTATGATGTGTGAATTGAAGACAAACTCCAAAAATCTTCCACTACACCTATCGTGAACTTGATAATTCGAAACTGCAAGGGCTACTGAAGGATATTCAATCACAAGAAGAAATATCGTTAATCGACGTTGTACAATTGGGAATTGTGAATAAACGAAGTTATGTGCGAGTATGTCAAATATACAACCGTATACATTGCAAGGAAACCTTAGTTGTTGACACTGAAGGATTATTGAATGTCTTGATTAATCAAAGATTGTTAATCTCTTGAATAAAGAACGAGTTTGGTAACATCGACAGTTTAAGAATACATATTCGTGTGGATAATGATGTGATTATGATTTAACCGAATGAAAATGACACGGTCATTATTAAGTGCGATCACAACAAAATGTTGAACGTTGAGCCTTAGAAGAATTTCGAGGACGAAATTCCTTTAAGGGGGGGAGAAATGTAACGCCCCAAAACATACCCTAGAATTATTAATAAATAAATAATAAATTAATCAAATTTGTTTTGATTAAAATAATTTATTGTTGGACTTTGGGCCGAAATAATGTGTTTGATATCCAATATCTTAATCTGGATAAATCTCATAAAGATAAATCCAATATATTGACTATTTGTGTGGTCTTGATTGGGAACGAGAGTACAGACCCAAATCAAGAATAAATGAAGAAATTATTTATAATATGAACTTTAAAATGATTTATTGAAATAAATCATGAGAACAAATGATATGAATTAAATGTGAGAACCTTTTTTAATTAAGGTCAAATAAACCAATTTTGACTCTGTCAAAGTCAAACACTCAAAAATATGATGTCGGAAAAAGTATTACAAATAAATATGAAAATTATATCGTTGAATAAAGCTCGACTGTCTGATCGCGACGATGCAAACGGATTTCAATTCGGAGAAAGTTGGACCAAAAAGTGTACCCCGACTAGGACCAAATTAGTCCCAATCAGGGACTTGCGTTTGAAATGGGAAGAAATCGCCGTCCGCAGGTGATCGGCGAGTTTGTCTCTTCACTGCGTCCTTGGTAACCGGAGAAGAGGTAAGAAGAAGATATATTACCTTTGGTTTTGAAGTGGTAAAGAAGTGGTAAGAAGTAGTTTAAGCAAGACCCTCTATCGGAACTCACACCTCTTGCGTCACCACGACAGTTAAACCACATAGGTCGCCGGAGTTGAGAGCTATCGTCGCCGGAAGTTTCACCGGAAAATTCTCAAAACCTCCATTAATCTTCTAGGTAAGCCCGTAGATATATCTAAAGACTAGAATGTTCATGTAGGTTGTTTTTACGTTCATAAATAGTCGTTTGGTTGAGTTTTGTGTTTGACATTTTTGAAGAACCAAGAATTATAAACCTTGAATTTGATGTTAAAAATATGTTTTAATGATTCTAAAATGATATATGAACCTGGGAAGACATTTCTATATAATTTAATTGAAGTTTGGTGATTAAAAATGATAATACTCGAAACTGACCAGAAGAAGAAGATGATGAACAGTAGCCGAAAATCGATTATTTACTTCTAAAAATCGATTAGAATTATGTCCAGACGAGGATGTTCGAAGTCAGTATATAATCGATTGTTAGCATTTAATTGATTATTTAAAATATAAAAATCGATTTTTAGCATTTAATTGATTATTTAAAATATAAAAATCGATTTTTAGCAATTATTTGATTATTTAAAATATGAAAATCGATTTTTAGCTATTAATGGATTACTTTAAATATAAAAATCGATTTTTAGGTATTAATTGAATATTTTAAAAATGAAAATCAATTTTTCTCAAGTCCAGATCCTGTTCCGAAAATATTCTGAAAATATATGCTCTAAAATCCACCAATTGATTATGATCATTGGAAAAATGATTTACCATAATAAAAATGATGTTTTTAACAAATAAAAACGTTATGTGATGCATGACGGTAAGTTAGGGTGTTAACACCCGAAGCTAGGCCGCTAATTGTTATTGAATATTATGTTGATTGATGATTATGGTAATGATTATTGATTGATGATTATGATGATTGAATCTTGATGAATATTCTGATTAAAAATGATAATTATGAATGATTAAATCATAATGAATATATTGATGATTGTGAAAATAATATGTATTGTTAAGGGTATCTAGAAGACCTCTAAGATATACCCATATTAATGTTAATTTGAAAGGTATCTAGAAGACCTCTAAGATATACCTATTTAATTTGTACCTTAAGCGAAGGCTAGTTTAAGAGTTGGTAAATCAATCGGAAATATGTACCTTAAACTAAGGACCTAGCTTAAGAGTTGGTTAGAAGTACCTTAAACTAGAATTAGTTTAAGAGTTGGTTAGAAGTACCTTAAACTAGAATTAGTTTAAGAGTTGGTTAGAAGTACCTTAAACTAGAATTAGTTTAAGAATTGGTTAGAAGTACCTTAAACTCGAATATAGTTTAACTATCTTAAACTAGAATTCGTTTAAGAGTTGGTAAACATAAAAAAGATTGACCTTGGACTACGCATAGTTTAAGGATATTGTTGAATATTGAATATTGAATATGAATGTTGAATGTTAAGAAATTGGAATAAAAATATTGAGAATATCATGAATGAATTATATATTGTGTGCATGATATCAAATGGTACAAACACTTAACTCTAAGTTAAATACACCTACAAGCTGCGAAATCTATACGAATGAGTCGAAGTGGCGACTCGCACATCACACAAAATAAACGATGTGCGTCCATTTGTCTTTCTAATTACACTAGGACCGCCTAGATGGGGCGAGATTGTCGGGATGGATGTGACAAGTTTTGAAATGATTTATGATATGTCAATATGAAATTCGCTTCCGCAATATTGTTAAATACTCCGTACTGTATATGTTATGAAAATTTTTTTTGAGATTAATAAAGTGTGTTTGAAAAGTTTTAAATTTTACGATTACCAAGTTAAATACTTTAGTCCTAATCGGGCTGCAGACCTGGATGGATTAGGGTGTTACAGTCACATTCTTTGTTCTATATCTTTGCTCTTTAAAATTCTTGCATTTCCTCTGAATGTGTCCCCTTTCTCCACAGGAAAAGCAAACATAATTAGCATAGGTATTAGTATAAGAATACCTTTCAGGTTTAGGATAATGATCCTTGTGTCTTCTCATACTAGATCGTGTCACAACTCGTTGCCTTTTTACATAGGGTACTGCATAAGATGTTCTAGTAGAAGCTACATGAGATGCTTCAGCGGGTCTGGTAGAAGATGTTCTAGCAGATTCGACAGTTTCTGTTTTCCTTCTTTGTGGTACCTTTTGAGCAATTTCTTTTCTTCGATCAACAAACAAGTCAAGTGGGGTCTTATTGCTTTCGAAACCTGAAAATCCGAGACCCGTCTTGTCTCCATAAAATTTTGAAATGTTCACTTGTTCCTCAATAGCTTTTGCTCCAGCACTTCTCATCCACTTGTGAAAGCTTTTGAGTTGATTTAATTCATACTTGAGATCAGATTGTTGCCCTTCTAATTCTTCAATCTTCTTTTCTAATCCTGAAATAACCTTCTTTAGTCTATTTCGTTCGGCAACAAGTTGATGGTTCTCCAGGATAGTCTTCCTATTGGCTTCAAGAAGTCCTGCCCACTTCCTTTGGAGAATAGCTAGCTCTTCTGCTGTGTCAACCTCTGTGTCATCTTCTGTATCATTCTATGTGTCATCCTCTGCTGTAACTTTACCTTTGTATCTCTATAACTCTTTAGTGAGTTGTTCCACATCGTGTTTTGATTCAGCAAGTTCACGTTTGAGACTATCATTTTCCAAACATTTTTTTTGTTGACCCGTAGCGACTCTTGAAATTTTTCTTCAACAATTATAAGCATCTCCTTTGGATCAACATCACCATCAGAGTCATCTTGAACACTGTGGAAAGTTGGAAAAGCACAACATGTTCCAGCACTGTCTTTGACACACTGCTTCTTTTTTTCAACGAGAATGACATGCCGCTTTTTACGTCGTAGATCTTCATGCATCTCCAACTCAATGGTTTCTAAGTTCCCCATCAGCTCGTCAAGAGACATAGTATTTAGAGATTGTGTTTGTCTAATAGCTTTGACATCCATGGAGTATTTTTCTAGAAGAGAACGTAGAACTTTCAACACCAGCTTGTGTTCTGTAATTGGTTCACCAAGCCTTTCAGCCTCATTTGTCAACTCTCTAACTCGCCCATGAAAATTTGTGATAGACTCAGTATCCTCCATCTTAAGATTTTCAATTTTAGACATCACGATCTGAAGTTTGGCTGTCTTGACTGTTGTGGTGCCTTCATGGGTAATAAGCAAAATGTCCCAAGCTCTCTTGGCCTCTGTGCAATTTGAGATAAGACGGAACTGGTTTCTGTCAACCGCTCCAAAGATTGCATTCAAAGCCTGATCATTTGATTCCGCAGCATCCTTTTCTTTCTTGTTGAATCTTTCATAAGGTTTTTGGATTAATTCTCCATCTCCATTGGTCATAGTAGGAGCTGACCATCCAACCTCTATGCTTCTCCAAACATGTCCACCAAGAGACTTGAGAAAGGCTCTCATTCGACACTTCCAAAAGTATAATCATGCCCGCATAATAGTAGAGGTCTAAAAACATTAGAACCTTCTTGAATATCTCCCATGGTGATAGATCGATCAAGCTAGCAAATTAAGCTTGCCGGGCTCTAATACCAATTGTAAGTTTTTGGGGGGCGCAGCGGATAACACCAAACACAAGCTATGCAAACAAAACAATCAACTATGTTGTAGGGAAGATACTGCAGCACTGTCACAACAACAGATGACTGACAGAGTGCTATAACACCTTCTCTGTCACAAGCACACACGTAGAATATAAAGTAAAAACAGCAAGCAAGACACCAGAATTGTTCACGTAGTTCGGAGCAAATTCTCCTACGTCTTAAAGGCCCACGTCCATGTAATATCCCTTCCACTAAATCACCGTAAGAAGTACACAATCAATCACAACCGAACCTTCTAACGTATTGATTTGTCTACTTACGAATGACTTGACGACAAACTCGGTTTGCGTCTATCTCCACGGCTTGCTACACCTTCTCAAAGATCTTCTTCAAGAACGTAGATCCCAGTACACCTTCAAATAAAGATTCTCCTTGATCTACAAAAATATGCAGGCCATTTCGAAGCTCATAAATCAAGATTGAACCGTTGGAATTCGGTCTCCACCATTCAGATTGAAGCTCCACAAGTCCTTGGACTCCTCCTAAAATTTCAGCACGATCGGACAAGGTTTGATACTCCGATCATCGACAAAACCATAGCTGCATTTTCTGCAAAAATCAGCGGCAATATGCAGATTGTAACTTTAATAACAGAAGATCCATAACTTTGATTCACGTGAAAATTTAATACGTTGAAGCCCTATGTGTTGGGAACATCCTCTGAAAATTTCAAAAAAATCCAACGGTCGGATCTTCGGCGATGATCAAATCCGTACGGGCTGTCCAGAAAATATGCACTATCAAACTCTGCACCTTGTTTTTCTTTTTTCAGATTTGCTTCAGTTGTTTCGTATTTTTCTGCCCTCAAAACCCTAAGGGGGGGGGGGGGGTAAAGATAATATATTGAATCGAATAACCTTGTTAGAGTGCGCTTAGGAGTGTCAATCATGGCTTCCTCCTTAAGAATAGTAAACCAAGTAGGATTAGAATTCAAGTAGGATTAGAATACTCTCTTCAGGCTCTTTCCTCTTTCTCTTCCTTCACATGCTAGGACTCTAAGTCTTAATCAAATATCTAAAATAATTCTAGGTAAATCTATTCGTTTATCAAAAAATAATGCCAACACAATGTGGAACTAATGACTGGTGGAACTCAAATTCGAAACCAGTAACCTTCATTGATGAGTTTTAATGTTTATTTTCTTTGCAATTTCTTGAGACTAACCGATAAAACTCATTCATAAAGCTTATTGGTTTTGATTTTAGGTTCCACCAGGAAGACTAATAAATAATAATTGAGAGAGGAATGATCATTTCAGTTTTGGGTTTAGAGCTTCAAACTCAGCGACGAGTTTGTGAAAGAGTACGAAAGGAGGGAGGAAGCTTAATTGAGGAGAGAAAAGTATGAATATACAGTTTTATCCATGTTCTTAACAAAAATGTTAACAAAGGACCATTCGTGAAAAATGATATAATAGTTGGGGACTAAATTAGTAATATTAGATATGTAGGGACTAAATATGTAAAACAATCTATAACTAGGGACCGTTTATAGAATTTACTCATTTATTTAATTGTCTCCATTTCCGGTACTACTGTAGTCACCTTCACCTTACACCGGGTCTGTTGCAGTCACCTTCGCACATAGTCGCAGGACTGTCAATCGTTGGTTGCTAAAGGTCGTCACTTTTGGATGCTGAAACTCGCTAGCTCTGCTGGCGGAAGCTTGCAACTATTGTTCGCTACATCCTCTAGGCTTAGGATGCAGCCCCTACAGATTGTTCAAGCTTGCACCATCTGATGCCACCGTTGGAATCTAGCGCTGCCATCACAAGCCTAAATCAGCTGTCGTCGCCATCATGGATTTGTGGCCTTTCACCGTCGTCTGGACGAAGACAAGGAACTGGTTTTTTAGCTGGTGACGGTGAAGGATTTCTGATTTATTCTCCCGACGTTTACAGCAAAGAATTTCTGATGGGTGCAGCTTCTTTCACATTGCCACTCCGGACAACAAGTTGGAAGTGCACTTAATGCTGATGAGTGCAGTTTCTTTCACTTTGTCTATAACGCCCCAAAATAAACCCTAACAGTTATACTGAATTATTGTTTAAATAAACAAATTTGATTAGATTAAAATAAATTATTATTGGGCTTTGGACTGAAATGATATATATTTTGATACCCAATATCGTAATCCGGATAAATCTCATAGAGATAAATCCAATATGTTGACTCATTGTGTGACCTAGGTCGGGAACCTGAGTACAGACTCAAATTAAGAATAAATGAAGAAATATGTTTATGATATGAACTTTGAAATAATTCATTGAAATAAATCATGAAAACAAATAATATGAATGGAATATTAGAACCTTTTTGAGTAAAGGTCAATTAAATGAATTTTGACTCTGTCAAAGTCAACAACCCAAAAATAAGATGTCAAAAAAGTATTATAGATAAATATAAAAATTATACAATTGAATATAGTTTAATTGTCTGATCGCAACGATGCAAATGGATTTCAATTCGGAGAAAGTTGGACCAAAAAGTGTACCCCGACTGAGACCAATTTAGTCGCAATCAGGGATTTGCGTTTCAAATCCGTAGGAATCGCAACCCGCTCCATTGAGACGCCTAAACAGGAATGCAGACATCACCTTGGCTTCTTCTTCCTTTCCTCTCCTATATTAACCACCATCAATCTTCTCATTCTTCATCAAAACATACAAGTGTAGTACCAACGTGTTCCTGAGAGTGAGGAGAATATGCTCCAGTAGTTGGTGGCCGCCGAAGTCGCCGGAGTTGGGAGAAATCATCGCCAGAAGTTTCGCCGGAAAATTTCCAAAACCTTAATTAAGCTTCGAGGTAAGCCCGTAGATATATCTAGTGACTAGAATGTTTGTATAGATCGTTTATACGTTCATAATATAAACGGTCATTTGGTTGAGTTTTGTGTTTGACATGCTTGAAGAAACCAAGAATCATAAACCATGAAATTGTTGTTAAAACTATGAATTAATGATACCAAAATGATCTATGAATCTTGGAGAACATTATTATATAATTTAATTGAAGTTCGGTGACTAAAAATGGTATTTTCAAAATTGGACCCGTAACGAAGAAGAAGATGAACAGTGGCTGAAAAACCACTGTCTCAATCAATCCAAGTGCTCTTGGGTCGTTCCCCTGGGAGTGGTTTTCCATAGTATGGATCGATCCAGAGGTCTGGATCGATGCCCCGAAAATCTGATCTGAAAATTTGTCCGAAAATGCTATTTTTGATCTCTAAAACTCTATTTTTGATACCAATTGATTATGATCATTATAAAAATGATTTTTGACAATAAAAGTGATGTTTTAACAAATAAAAATGTTGTGTGAGTCATGACGGTAAGTTAGGGTGTTAACACCCGAAGCTAGGCCGCTAATTGTTATTGAATATTATGTTGATTGATGATTATGGTAATGATTATTGATTGATGATTGTGATGATTAAACCTTGATAAATATTCTGATTAAAAATGATAAGTATGGATGATTAAGTCATAATGATTATATTGATGATTGTGAAAATAATATGTATTGATAAGGGTATCTAGAATAACTCTAAGATATACCCACAGTAATGTTGGTTTTGAAAGGTATCTAGAACAACTCTAAGATATACCTATTTAAGTTAGGCCTAGCGGGTATGATACCCGTTGGTCAGGGTTAAAACGTACGTACGGGATCCAAGAACCAAACTTGAGTACCTACTCGTTTGGGGGTACCACCCACCCAACAGTGAACACTACGCGGTGTCGATTTCTTGTTGACCTTAATCGAAAGTAAGTTTTAGATTTTGGAGACCCCTTTTATCTTAAACTAGCCTATCTAAAGGATTATTTAGGAGTACCTTATATTGGAATATATTTTAATTATCTTAAACTAGAATTCATTTAAGGGTTGATAAACATTAAAGTGATTGGCCTTAGACTAAGAATAGTTTAAGAATATTGTCGAATGTTGAATATTGAATATGAATGAATATTGAATGATGATTATTGGATTGAATATAATGAATGACTAATGAACGTTGAATATGAATATAAATGTTGAATAATGAATGATGAATATTGACTAATGATTATTGAATATTTAAACTGAACATTATGTGCATGATATCAAATGATTTGATTATGAATTTAGATTCAGTTTTTATGGATGTTCGACGCATTAGATATGCTTACTCAGAGCGTGTAATATGTTTTATTTGCTACACGCAGGTTAATAGAAAGAATGAAGTAACGTGATCCTGCAGGCAGACGGAGGCGAGATTGTTGGAATGGATGTGATGGTTTTGAACTAAAGAACATAATGTTGGACATGAGATCAAACCACTTTATTTTCGTATCGAGAAAAGCAAAGAGGCGTATCAAGATAAAATCAAGGCTTACCCCTACGCAGAAGTTTTTGAAGTGAAGTGAAGACTCCAAAGATTTCTTTTAATTGAGTCTAGGAATCTTTGTAAGGATGACAATACTTTCTGCACAAACAAATTATTTTTTGAGGGATAAAAATTATTATTTTCTGAGTCAGTTGAAAAATTACTTTTCCTTTGTCTAAAAATATTTTACTGAGTTAGTTTCAAAATAAGTGTGTCAAAATTTCTTAAAAACATTTTTTAAGAATACACAAATTTTTTTTTGGTAAGAAAAATATACTTTAAATATTTTTCTTGTACATCGTTTGACACAGAAAATAATTTTTGGACTCTTTTCTCTCCCCTACTCAAATTCATTGAATAGGAGATATTATATTTGAGATGCGTCCGTTGATATTCTCGTTGTCACAAAGAACGAGTTAGAAGCCAAAGGCTTCCAATCGCACTTGGCTTGGGCCCTTTATGTTTGCACGGTATTTTGAAATTAATCGATTTTCTCTTCCTTTTTAATTGATTAATAGACTTCTAGTTGGATTCCCAGGATCGCCCAATAATCGATTAATTTTTTTCATTTAATCGATTAGTTGAGTCAGCGCCATCTAATCGATTATTTTGTCAAATTTAATCGATTAATTTGCACCCTGCGCAGAAGACCTTTCGCTTCTGTACACCTTAATCGATTAAAGGCTTTACCTTAATCGATTAATATTGTCTGGTGTCTATTCTCAATCTGCTCCAACGGATCTTTTATCCTTAGCCTATTTAATCCCTCATTCTCCTTCATTTCCTAACACCACTCTTGCACTCTAATATACCCTTTGAGCTATATTCATTCCTTGCTTCATCTTCCTCATCAAATATTACTTTTGAGAGTTAGAAATATTTTTTTGAGTGCTAAAGAAGTTGTCATCCATAGATCTTTAATTCTTCAACACTACTTTGCTCAATTGTGTGAGCTTTCATTCTTGTGTTGTTAAACTCAATGTCATTTGAGTGTTGTTCTAAAGACTTGTGTGACTCAAGTCTTGTTGTTGTAAGAAAGTGAGGCTTGTGTGATTCAAGTTCTCAAGTTGTACCGGTTTTAGTTCGTGGGCAACTTCGAACTTCTAATCATCCTGAAAGCTCTCTCAGAGAGCCTCCTGACCTGATCGGTGCTCCACCACTTGGTCATATTTAGAGCCACATCTTCTTTCCCTTACTCTCTTTATTTATTCCTGCGATTTTATTATTTCACACACGCGAAAAACGCACATTCTTGAAAACAACTCTATTCACCCCCCCCTCTAGAGTTGTACATTTGTCTAACAATTGGTATCAGAGCAGGAAGTTCTTCGAATACGTTATTTTTTTCAGGAACTAAAAGATCAAATGGCATCAAGAATGTTCAACGCAGGAGTGACCGAGGGACAATCAACCACGAGGCCACCTTTGTTCGATGGAACAAACTACTCGTATTAGAAGGATAGGATGAGAATCTTTATCCAATCCAACTACTACAAGCTTTGGTTGATTGTGAAGAATGGCTGCGGAGTCCCTATGAAGGAAGTCGGTGAAGTCAACGTCCCCAAAACCGAAGAGGAGTTCACCGACGAAGATTGCAAAAAGATGGAGCTCAACGCAAAGGCAATAAACATGATTTATTGCGGTGTTAATGCGGATGACTACCGCAAAATCTCGCGGTGTGAAACCGCAAAACAAATGTGGGAGAAATTAGAGGTCACCTACGAAGGAACCGCGCAGGTTCAGGTGGCCCAAAATCGACCATCTCACCCATGAGTACGAACTCTTCTCAATGAAGGAAAACGAGAAGATTGGGGAAATGTTAGAGAGGTTCTCTAACATCATTAATCCTCTCAATCTTCTCGGGAAGACTTACACCGACCGAGAACTTGTAAGTAAGGTGCTACGAAGCTTATCCCCAAAATGGCGTTCAAAGGTGGACGCAATTGAAGGACGTGACTTCCAAACAACGACCTATGATGCTATTCGAGGTAACCTCATTACCTACGAAACCACCCAACTCTCAAAGGTGGTTGAAGAGAAGAGCAAGAGGTCTATTGCTCTACTCGCAACAACATCATCCCACAACAACGTTGATGATGAAGATGATGACAACGACGACACCGACCTCGAACTCTTCGTCCGAAAATTCAAGAAGATGATGCTCAAGAGGGGAGCCAAGAAGAACACTCCACCCAAGTGCTATGGGTGTGGTGAAATTGGACACATCAAACCAATGTGTCCAAAGCTCAAAAACGAGAAGGACAAGAGGGCACCGAAGAAGCAACATGCCTACATTTCTTGGGAGAACGACGGCTCCGGGAGTGAAGACTCAGAAACGGAGGAAGTGGCCAACTTGTGTCTCATGGCCATTGAAGATGGTGATACATCAAAAGAGGTAAGTGATCAAGAACCTTCTCCCAATGATCCTTTAACTCTTAATGATGTTATTTGCATTGTAGAAGAACTTGTAGGAATGTTCAAAAAGGCTTCCAAAGAAAATAATGAAGTTAAACAAAAAATCCTGATTTTTGAAAAAGATGTAAAAGAACTCAAAAATATAAATGATAAACTTAAACAAGAGATTATCTCTCTTGGGAAAAGGCCACAAGAACCTTCATCTACCTCTTCTACATGCTCTAGTTGTACATCACTAAAAGCTAAGGTTACTAGTTTAGAGAGCAAATTGGGAAAGTTCAATAATGCTTCAAACACCTTAGATGAAATACTTAAGCAAAAAGTTAGTAATGGTGAAGGACTTGGATATAAGAAAAACCAACCTAGAAAAACAACATTTGTTAAAGCTAGGGGAATAAAAATGCTAGGATAAATAATCAAACTAGAAGAGCACATCCTAGCAAACCTAGAACTCATTACACTCAACCATATAGGATGAATAATCCAAACGTTATTTGCCATTATTGTAATAAGATAGGGCACATTGCACCCGTGTGCTTCACCAAAATTAGGCATTTTCAACAAATGCACACACATCGCACATATGCTAACCAAAAAGGACCCAACAATACATGGGTACCTAAACCGTCTCCTTGATATCTTTTTGTAGGTGTGCTTGAAGGCTTCGAGTACCTCTTGGTATCTCGATAGCGGATGCTCCAAGTACATGACCGGAGACGCATCCAAATTTAGGAGTTTAGAGTATTTCAAAGGTGGCAATATCGTTTTTGGTGACAACAACAAAGGAAGAATCATTGGAAGTGGCACCGTCGGGAAGGACAATGCTACACCGTTGAGAACGTTCTTCTTGTTGAGGGCGTCAAGCACAATCTTCTTAGCATTAGCCAATTGTGCGATAGAGGTAACCGTGTCATCTTTGATTCTAGTAAATGCATTGTAGAACGCTTGTATGACAATAAGACTATTCAAACACCATCATCTCATCTATTGTAAATGTACAAACTAGAACTTTTAAGGGGCAGATAGAATCGATTCACGGAGTAATGGTTTCTCCTTCTTTGCACCGATACCGTAGCAGCCTATCGAGTGCAATTATACCTGGTAGAATTATTCAACCAAAGATTTCTGAATCATTAACCACAAGGATTTCTTAAGTTTGAGAAGAACCTAATTTGTGATGCATGTCAAAAGGGGAAGCAAGTAAGGGCCTCGTTTAAGTCTAAGAACATTGTTTCTACGACTAGGCCATTACAACTTTTGCACATGGACCTTTTTGGACCTTCAAGAACTATGATTTTAGGAGGTAATTACTTTGGCTTTGTTATCGTTGATGACTATTCGAGGTTTACATGGACACTTTTTCTAGCTCATAAGTATGATGCACTTAATGCTTTTAAGAAATTTATCAAATTGGTTCAAAATGAAAAAGATTGTCACATTTCATCCATTAGAAGTGATCATGGGGGAGAATTCGATCAAGATGGCTTTGACGCCTTATGTGACGAATTAGGCATTGAGCATAACTTCTCGGCCCCCCGTACACCACAACAAAATGGCGTGGTTGAACGGAAAAATAGGTCTCTTGAAGAGATGGCTAGAACTATGCTCAATGAGACTAACCTTCCTAAATATTTTTGGGCGGATGCCGTGAGTACCGCGTGCTACGTGTTAAACCGAGCCGTCATTAGACCGATACTCAAGAAAACGCCCTACGAACTTTACAAAGGAAGAAAGCCTAACCTTTCCTATTTTCATGTCTTTGGATGTAAAGTTTTCATTCATAATAATGGAAAAGATAACTTGGGAAAATTTGATGCTAAGTCGGATGAAGGAATTTTCTTAGGTTTATTACCATAAGAGCTCGGGAATGGCCCCACAAAGTCGATTCCCCATACATCAAACACTTCACGCGGCAGCATGTAATGTTGCGGCATCTCATTCCTCTTGGATATATTGCCCGATCTTTGACAGCGGTCGCAGGAAGCAGCAAATTGATTAGCATCTTTAAAAAGCGTTGGCCAGAAGAATCCTGAGTCCAACACTCTCCTTGCTGTCCTTGCTCCTGAGAAATGTCCGCCAACTGGGCCACTATGGCAGGCTGCCAAAATTTCCTTCCCTTCAGCTTCGTTTACACATCGTCAAACCACTTGGTCTGCACAGACCCTGAAAAGGTATGGATCATCCCAGAAGTAGAAGTGAGCTTCTCTCTTAAGCTTTTTGCTTAGGTGCGGTGTCAGCAAGGTAAGTTCGATCTTTCCTGCCAGGTAATTGGCAATATCCGCATACCAAGGCTCTTTCTCTTGTATAGCGTAAATCCTCTCAAAGGGAAAGGATTCGTTTACTACACAATTGCCAAATTGCTCTGCTACCTCCACATCTAATCGAGACAGATGATCTGCAGCTTGGTTGGCCGATCCTTTCCTATCCTTGATCTGTAAATCAAATTCATGCAACAATGACACCCAACGTAATAACCGAGGCTTCGCATCATTTTTCTACAACAGGTACCGCAACGCCGCATGGTCGGTGTAAACGATAACTGGAGAAAGAATGATGTAAGGCCTAAATTTTTCCAAAGCATACACAATTGCCAGGAATTCCTTCTCTGTGGTTGTGTAGTTAAGCTGTGCTCTTGAAAGAGTTTTACTAGTATAGTATATTGGGCGAAAAACCTTTTCTTACCTCTGTCCAAGGATCGCTCCTACAACTAAGTTGCTGGCGTCACACATAAGTTCAAACGGTAGTGCCCAATCTGGGGCAATAAGAACTGGGGCTGAGATCAGTTTCTCCTTCAAAGTATTGAATGCTTGTAAACATTCATCCGTAAAAACAAACTCTATACCTTTTTCTAGTAGGGCAGTAAGGGGCTTTGCTATTTTAGCAAAGTCTTTAATGAATCTTCTGTAGAATCTTGCGTGTCCTATAAAGCTTCAGATAGCTTTTACGGAATTTGGTGGTGGTAGCTTCTCAATAGTATCGATTTTAGCACGATCCACCTCTACCCCGCGGCTTGATACCTTGTGCCCTAAGACTATTCCTTCCTTGACTAAGAACTGACACTTTTCCCAACTAAGAGCTAAGTGAGTTTCCTGGCATCTTATGAGAACCTTCTCTAGATTACCTAGGCATTCGTCAAATGACTTCCCTGTAATAGAGAAATCATCCATAAAGACTTCCATAAAATCCCCTATAAACTTTTCGAAAATAGCTATCAGACACTTCATAAAGGTGGCAGGGGCATTACAGAGTCCGAACGACATTCGACGGAATGCAAAGGTTCCAAAGGGGCAAGTGAAAGTGGTCTTCTCCTGGTCTTCGAGGTTTACATGAATTTGGAAATAACCACTCATCCCATCCAGGAAGCAATAATACGCATGGCCAGCCAATTTTTCAATGAGTTGGTCAATGAAAGGAAGGGGGAAATGATCTTTGCGTGTGGCATCATTCAACTTTCTATAGTCTATAACCATTCGCCAACCGGTCACAGTTCTTCTTGGAACTAGCTCTCTCTTCTCATTTTTGGTCACCGTCATCCCACCCTTTTTGGGAACAACGTGGATTGGTGACACCCACTGGCTATCGGAAATAGGATAAATTATTCCAGCATCCAAGAGTCTAAGCACCTCTTTCTGCACTACTTCCATTAATTTTGGATTTAACCTCCGTTGTGCCTGCACAACTGGTTTAAACCCATCCTCAATGGCTATTTTATGCGTGCAATAAGCGGGGCTTATCCCTTGAATATCCTCCAACTTCCAAGCAATTGCTTGCTTGTGCAAACGAAGGACAGCTAGTAATTTCTCCTTCTGATCAGGTGCTAGATCGGAGGCTATGAAAACAGGGCACTCGCCCTCACTATCGAGGAAAGCATACTCGAGATGTGATGGTAAGGACTTTGTTTCTTTTGTGGGTTCAGATTGCGTTTTGATTTCACACACCTCCTCACACTTAGGTTCTTGAAAAGCAATTTCTAAGCTCAGAAGATCTTCTACAGACCCTTTATCTTTTATGACTTTAACTAAGTTGCAGAATTCAGCTGGGTCTGGAGTTCGATTCATGACGCTCATCATTTTGAAAGTGACATCTTCATTGCCTACTCTCAAAGTTAATTCTCCATCGTGAACATTAATTAATGCCTTTGCGGTTGCAAGGAATGGTCGCCCTAGTAATAGCGGCTTTTCCTTATCTTCTTCCATATCCAATACCACAAAATCAGCGGGAAAGATGAACTTATTTACCTTCACAAGTATGTCTTCAATCACCCCCATGGGGTAACGAATAGAGCTATCTGCTAATTGAAGACACATTTGAGTAGGTTTAAGTCCAGTCAATCCCAATGCTTTCATGATAGAGGACGGCATTAAATTAATGCTAGCTCCTAGGTCAGCTAGAGCGTCTCCAAAGGTTCTGTCGTTGATGGATCAAGGGATAATGAAACATCCAGGATCCTTTCGTTTTCTAGGCATTTCCTCTAGTAACATAGCAGAGCATTCAGCATTTAAGCTGACAACTGAGAATTCCTCCCAATCCCTCTTCTTAGTTACGAGATCTTTTAAGAATTTGCTATATTTGGGCATCTCAGTTAACACATCTACTAAAGGCATTTTGACCTCAACTTGGCCAATGATGTCGAGAAACTTTTGGAAAGCCTTTTCGTCCTTGCTCTTTTTCACCCTAGTAGGGAAGGGAATAGTGTTTAGCTGAGTTTGCCTGGTTGGTTGGGGTTGGCTAGAGGAGATTCCTTCTTTCCTCGTTTCTTGAGGTGTGGATTCAGACTTCCTTTCAGGGGTTGCTCCTACAGAAGTATCCACGGGGACTTCTTCTGCATCGGCTTCAACTTCTAGGCCTTGAAGCTCTCTACCACTTCTCAAAGTTATAGCCCAAAGTTGCTCCCTTGGGTTTGGTTCAGTGGTAGCTGGGAGGTTCCCCTGTTCTCTAACTCCAAGTTGTTTAAATACTTGTTGGAGTTGGTTATCACGCGTCTTGTCACGCTCCTTCAAATCATCCGCCAGATTGTTCATCTTCTGCATGTACTCCATCATCATCTTTTCCATTCTTGCCAAGGAATCTTCTTGCGGAGCTTGGCGATTATGAGGTGGAACGTAGGATGCATTGTTATTTTGGTAATTGTTTTTATTGTTATTCTCTTCGTAGTAAGGCATATAGAGTGTTCAACAAGCGTACTAAGAACGTAGAGGAGTCTATTCATGTTGTCTTTGATGAATTTGATGCCCGCTTGGCGAGAAAAGGTATTGTTGATAATGTTGCAGGTTCTTATGACGATGAAGAAGAAATCGTTAAGGAAAAGGAACCGGAAGAAGAGAAAATGCAGGAACAAACAGAGCTTCCTAAGGAATGGAGACCATTGAAGAACCACCCGATTGACAATGTCATTGGTGACATAACGCAGGGAGTTTCTACTCGTAATTCTCTTAGGAACACAATTAATTACATGGCCTTTGTTTCACAAATTGAACCAAGAACCGTTTTGGATGCTATTAATGATGAACATTGGTCTATGGCAATGCAAGAGGAGCTTAACCAATTTAAACACAATGATGTTTGGGAATTGGTGCCTAGACCTAATGATCATTCCGTTATTGGCACAAAATGGGTGTTTCGTAACAAACTCGATGAAAATGGAGTAATCACTAGAAACAAAGCTAGGCTTGTAGCTAAAGGCTACAATCAAGAAGAAGGCATTGATTATGAAGAAACTTATGCACCGGTTGCACGTTTAGAAGCTATTCGTTTATT